TGTCTTGGCGGGGAAATGGAGCTTCTCTTGCCGGCTACCTTCTCTGGCCAATTAATACCCTTTTTAGGCCGATTTCTACGATTTATTCACCCCACAAAAGAAGTCTGGTGGAGACTAGTTTGTTTCTGGCGGAGAGAAGGGAGCGCAAAACCTCTCCACGACACCCCCCCCCCCACAAGGGAGCTACCTGCACAAGGCTCAAAGTGTCACAGTTCCCGCACGGGAAAGTTCAAACTCTCCACCTCAAGTACCTTGGCTGTACCTGCACAAGGCTCAAAGGTCCACTTTTTATCCAAAGGTTCTTGAAGTTCTTTGAAATCCTCTAAAAAAACGCAGGAAATGCCATTTCAGAAGGTTCTTTTTTTTTCTTCCAAAATTTCCCGGGGAGCATGCCCCCGAACCCCCTTGGAACCTCGCGCCTTCGGCGCTGCTGGTCCCTCAACTCAAGCAGTGGGAATTCCTGGCTACGGGGGGTTTCCGGAAAAGGCTGTGCTGTGCATGTGCATGTGCAGTGCCCCTCTTCAGGGCCCCAAGCCATCACATGTTAAAGGGGCATTATGTGACTTTTTGACAGTACGAAAAGTATATATCTTCCATTCTTTTCTTTACATAGGACGTTGACTTAACCCTTTAGTATGAGAATAATACTCAGCAACAAAAAAATACAACATCCTTGTTCCTTGTAAGCTTACAAAACTGTGTCCGATGAATCTTCTATTCAAATCTCTGGCCACACCGCACATAATTATGAGTCTCCACCAGACTGCTTTTCAGACTGAATAAATAGTAGAAATCGGCTAAGGGGAACATCATTGGCCAGAGGAGTTGGCCTTCCATAGAGGGTCCAGCTTGCTTGCAGGACCCAATATGGCCGGCCAACTCCCCCGGGGGAGACTAACAAAAATTATGGTAGGCAAACCGGTGGCACCGGGAAGTGAACAAGAACTGTTTGAATGCACAAATTATACCTCAGAAATGTGAAATACATGTAATGACACAAATATGTTGAAAAGTGATACTAACTGTTGATAACACCAAAATTTAGTATATAATTGGAATATTTCAAATTTTTGCGTAAAAAGTTACATAATGCAGCTTGAACATGTGATGGCTTGGGGCCCTGAAGAGGGGCACAGCACATGCACATGCACAGCACAGCCTTTTCCGGAAACCCGGCTACGGGCATGATATACACAGATTCTTTATTGACACAACAAATATAAGCCAGTGGAAAAATTATTATAATTATAATACAGAATCAAGACTCACAACAACTTTAAGTACTTCTTTGACTTGGTTACTAGTGAATTCTTTCATCAGTGACAACTTGGAAGGATAAGGATACTAACCTCCAAATTTTCGATGGCTATCAGTCCATCTTGTTCAAGGAGTGGCCTAATCTCGCGAGAGCGTGAGACTAGGCCCGAGACTTGCATCGGTCTGCCGGGCCCCACCCCCTGTTGCCTCCCTCCGGAGTAAGGGTAAGGCCACAGCAACTAAATTTTATGGATGACATCCTCTGCAGACTCCAAATCTAATGCGAGCGGGCGGAAAAAAACAAGGCGGGCCAAAAAAAAACAAGGTTCCTACATTATAAAATTTTGACTCAATCATCGTACGAATGGCTTTTATTTGGTGGGAACATCACATATACACTAGCCTGGGTACCATCCTACTTGTATGCCGGGGCTCCCACACTCGCTTCCCTAACAAGTTCCCCTCGCGCTCTCACGAGATTAGGCCACTCTGTGAACAAGATGGACTGATAGCCATCGAAAATTTGGAGGTTAATGTTTCCTTATCCTTCCAAGTTGTCACTGATGAAAGAATTCACTAACGTTAGTAACTGTATCTTTACATGACAAATGAATCTCTTCAATGTTCTTTGACTTGATTTGAAATGTGAAAGGAGATGTAGCCAAGTGTCTGACTTCCACATAGTAATAACCTGGTCTGCTAGATTCAGTTCGTTAAAATCAGTGTTTTGACAGTGAGGGAAGAAACATAGCCAGGAGTGTTCATGTACACGTGATGTTTATTGTGACAGTTTGTGCAACATACTGCCTTCCCCTACCTTCTCACAACTCCTGACTGTCCCTAGCAACTGTTTCTGTGGTAACCAGGATGGGATTTCGTCATTATGTTCTGTTCACCAGGCTTGGCAAGAATTCTGCAGAAATGATATGCACAATCATATATATATTAACATTACGTCAGAGTTGCAGTTGTGGTCTAATAAAATAACCCATTTTTCTGACAATCTCTTATGGCATCCAGCACTGGTTAAATCTGTCTGATGTTCTAACAATTGTAAAGTCTTAACATGTCAATCACAAGTAAGAATATTTAATCTTCTCCCTGTGGCCTACCTGGTCCAAGTCTACAGTGCCAAAAGGCTACCCGGGAGAATACTACAAATGCCATACATGTAGATGACTGATGATGCTAATTATGTAGCAAGTGTTGTGCACAAAGTTTGCCAACAGGACAGCAGAGGTTGCAATAATGGTAATATGGTTGCTATGGCTAAGGGATAATCATGGGCAGGACTTGCAAACGCAGCTAGAAACTTTTTCCACAACACCAACTAAATGATAGCATCATCATGTCACCTAGCAACAGCAAACATGGTCGCCATGGGTAGGGTTACATCCCCAGTAGTACTATCTCCTGATTGGTCGCCAGTGGGATTATACCATCTTCAAGGTTAAGTAGGGGAGTGCAGCATGGGCACACACTTATGCCTACATGTTATAATATTACAGTGCACATGAGAACAATGTATACTTGCAGCTATGATGACCACTTTCTGTCAAATAAAGTACTGTCTGCTGTTCATACTGATTTCAGTGTTATATCAAGTGTAACATACTCATGAGTGTCCTGTTGTCAGGAAGCCTACTTGTACATTGCGTACACCACTGCAAAGAAAGGAAGATCATTCAATGATAGTTCTGTAAGTTTCTCCGTACCTACTCCCAATTACTGATACCAGTTTTCAGTTACGTCGACTGGGGAGAAGTATGAAGTTGATCAGGAAAAGCCCAGTTGTCCAACAATCCCATATACTGGTTTTCCCAAAATTAATTAATAAGAAAATGTGCATAACCAACAAACTATAAAACAATCAAGTTGCATCATATCAGTTTGAAAAGGTGGTAAATACAATAAAGTTTCAAATTCCAACATATAAATCACAAATTGCAAATTTCATAAGCAGCATTTCTACTCGATATTCAAGTCAAGATTCCTTCATCATTCATAGAATTCATATCCTTTGGATTTCAAAGACATGGACACATTTGTAGCATGTAAAATTGATGTACTACGGAATAAATTCATGACTTAACAATCCTCAGTAACACTGATGTCTCCAAGGTCAATCTAATGACCTTCAGGGAAAGACAATAAACTGTCCATAATAAATTCATTTTCAGTGACTAAAAAATGCAAAAAACTCAGCAGACCCTGCTGCTCTCAAACACGATAGGACTGCTTTCCATAAAAAAACGACTATACCCTGAAACAAACTTTTGCAACATCGAGTTTAGATAATACAGGTGTATTTGTATCTCACACATTTATGGAAAGACTCTCTGATTACAGTAGATTTCTGAAATGAAATGTTCTCCGTATCTGATCCCATACAGTGGCCATCAGAACTACATGATATTTATGTCTTACCAACGTCACAATATCACTGGAATGAGGAAACATCCCTCGAGTGGACAACAAATGTTATCACTAACACACCTGAGCGGTCCGTTACCTAGCTTTCATCATCTTTACCTACTTTTCTACACGTTTCTTGCTTCAACTCCAGTAAAAAAACTTTTGATTTTTTTCCCTCTTTTTTTCTCCTTTCCTTTATGATGTATCTTTTTTTTTCTGTATAAATGTGCATGGTTACAATGGTTGGGTGTTAACGTACAGCACAACGATCACTGCGTCGATTTACGTGAGAGTATTGCGTGGCTCGCATGCAAGAAGACATCATCATCACACGGACAGCACATCCAAACGTTTGTACATACAACTGGCAAGTCCAATAAATTAGAGTTCTGTACACTGAAGTATCGTGCCACGAGCGTCGGCATCCACATTGGAAGTCAAGGTCGACTCATTGTCACAAAGCGCTGAGTGCCCCAAGGTCATGTACAGTCGTTAAAAGAATACATTTTGATTTCCTTGAGAAGCCCTCACAGGGCAGAATGGACTAAAGTTCCATCATTATTAAGATTGCTGTACATTAATGTCAGGTCAAGACAAAACCTCCTCTTGCTGAACCCACAGATTTACATTACCAGCAAGAAGGAATTCTGGGTAATAATATCAGACAACCCCAAACTCAACATCAGCCCCTATAGAGGTCAAAGGTAAAGAATACCAGGTCTTACATTGTTCGCTGCCTCCCCACAAGGCAACAGTCTTGGTGTGATAATTCTTACAGTGTTGTCTGGGACTGAGAAAAAGTCACTGCAACAATTTATGCTTATACATCTGAGAAAAGTTTAAAACAGATCAAGACAAAGGTCACTCTGATGGATTAAAACGCCAAAGTCAATCAGTACTGTTAGAAATCTATGCTAGATTTTTTGTTCCTTGATTTTCTCGATCATTTTCAAGTGGCAAGATGCAGGAATGTCATAGTCAAACTCGTTCAAGAAGAAGAAAAAACTCCCAACTTTACAATACAGATTACAGTTTGATTTCACGGTTACAACGTGTGTTGTGTTACAACACAGTCTCTCCTGTGGCAGCCAGTTCTCCCATGGTGATACTGACTTGTCCCGTACTCCCTGCCTCCTCATCACTTCCCTTCAGCTCCAGATCAGCCTTTGTCATACTCAGAGTACTTGGTCTCTTGGAGCCAAACGGCGTGCTCTCCGGGCTCTGTCTCTTGGTGCCTGCGGGCGACTCCTGTCCGGGGGCTGACCCAGTCCTGAACACGGGCAGCCTGCTCTTCTGTCTGCCGGACTCTTTCCTCGTCAGCTTTGTCCCCTTCTTCTTCTCTGACGAGTCGTCGAAGCTCTGATCCTGTTGTTCGTTTTCTGTCGATAACGTTGCAGGTCTGTTGGAGGAGTAAGAGTCAGCGTGCTGAATGGCTCCGTCGTTATCGTTTCTATTCCTTCTATTGTCCTCGATACTGCTTTCTCTCTCCTGGCTCCTGTTTCTCCCATTCCCATTCCTTCCATCCTGGACAACGCCAGGTTTTTCTCCTGCTAGTCTGGTCTGCGGATGAGAGCCAGAATCGTTCTTTTCTCCAGCGGGACCGTCGTCTGACACAGAAGGAATGTGTTTTCTCTTTTTCCACAGGGAACTGTCTGAAGGGTTCTTTATGTCTAAATGTCTATCTACAGCCTGGTCAGGGGTGGGGAGGGGGGTGACCTCTGTAAGTGTTCCTGAACTGGAGTGGGTGAGTTGGGTTAGGGTTTTTGACTCAGATTCTGACACGCCTTTGCCCTCCCCCTCTTCCATGTTCAAGAGGGGTTCCACGTCCTCTTTCTCGTCTTTGCTTGACTTGGAGCTTGTGCGTGGGCTTCTGAAGGCGCTGGCGATGTTTTCTAACGTGCGGCTGATCTTCCCCATGCCATGTTGGCCCTCTTGGCCAGCGGCATCACTAACCAGAGGAGACATGTCTGTCAGATCCTCCAGCTCGGAACTCTCGCTATTGGGGATGACTACTGATAGTGCAAAGTCTGTGGGGAGGGTCTTGAGCCTGGGCGGGCCCTTGGCCTGAGTGTCTGTGCTACATGTGGGTTCTGGGGAGGGTTTCACCTCAGGACCCACCGTGGGGGGGCTGGTGCCGCTCCAGCTCCGTCGGAAGGAGCTCTTCATGGAATAAGACGGGGACTGGACGGTGTGTACCTTCGCCCTCGTTCTGGGGGAGGGGTCGCGGGGCGGGGTGGAGCTGCGAGGTCGGGGCGACTGCCGCAGCTTCTCCAGCGAGTGCGACCTTGACTTTGGCTGTCCGTGGAGGCTCTCGTCACTGCCCGAGTGAAGCGAGGACAAGTCGTGCTTGCTGTTGCTGAGGCGGGGGATCCTTGACTGGTACTTTTCGTCCTCCAGCGCTTTCTTCTCCTCGGTAGTGTTGGGGCTTCTCCGGACGGGAATTTTGGACCGGACTGACACAGCCTGGTTCTCAATACTATCCAGATATGCCTGGAGGGGGGTAGACAAGTACATCAGAAGTGAACTAAAATCGTTGTTCATCACTGATGTGATTATAAAGCTCCTATGGGAAAAAAAGTGAATATGGGTTTGTTTGCATTATGTACTTCTCAGAATGATTGGTAGGGGGCACTGTTGAGACAGACACTGGTCAGATGGCTCAATGTGAACTAAAATGGTGAATCAGTAATATGGTACCAGTAATATAGTTGGAAGAACATAAAAGCTATGGCTGCCTCTGGGAGGTGGCAGGATTCTTCCCTAAAGTGTAAGAGATTTCCCAAAAGTGGTAGGATGTTTAGTATAAGTATAAAATGTCTTAATCCTAACATAATAGAACAGTTCGTTTGCACCATGCACTGCTCTGAGAAATCAGCAGGGGGCACTGTTGTAACAGTGATATCAAAACTAACTAAATCAAAAGCAGCAAAAGCTTTTTCTTGTTTTGTTCATTCCAATAACTCCTTACTCTCAGAAGGTTCGTGTTTTATTGAATTACTTTTAACTTGGAAAAGGTTCAATAGAGTTGATCTGACGCCAAAGCACTGTTTGTCCCTAAGAGGAATCCAAATGTCAAAAGACAGCTAAAAGAGGATGTTTCCCTTTAGAGAAAACAGAAATGTCATTAAGACTTAAAGGAGACCTATTGGTGGTGCTGCCCAGTGACCTATGACCTCTACCTGCAATGCACCCTGGTACTGGATCTGTTCCTGGGGACTGAGGTGCCCGAACTCTGCCAGCAGGGAATCCTGGGAACCGGACGTGTCACTACCGCCCTTCACCATGGACGGCATGTACAGGTTAGCCCTGCTGCTGGCCAGCTCCATGGTGTCCTCTATAAACTCCTCTTCAACCTGACAAAAACAAGAGTGGACAGGCATGTCACATATAGGTGATAGGTGCAATACAGGTGAAATTTAAGGTACAGGTTAGCCCTGCTGCTGGCCAGCTCCATGGTGTCTTCTATAAACTCCTCCTCAACCTGACAAAAACAAGTCACAGACACGTCACATATACATGTAGGTGATAGGTGTTACAGGTGTGTTACAGGTGTAACATAGGTGCAATACAGGTGAAATTTAAGGTACAGATTTGCCCTGCTGCTGGCCCGCGCTGTATGGTATCTTCTACATGTATACATACCTCCTTAACAGGTGGCTTACACAGGTGTGTTAAAGGTGAGATTGAAGGCGCAATAAACTAGGAAGGCCAAAAAGAAACTAGAAAGGTTTTGCAAATGCATGATGTTAACTGTCACAACATCTAGCCCAATAAGTCACACTCAAACACATTCATATAACATATAATTAATTTAACCACCCCATAACTTGCTCCATAATGTAGCCAAATACTTGTCCTTGACATTGACCTTATTTGTTAGGAGAAGGGGAAGAAGAAACAGCAAAAACAATTTCTTTATTTGAAGGTAAACATAATAACAACGACAAAAAATCTGACCTTGACGTGGCCGAATCTCTCCTTGTGCCTCATCTCGACGATGTAGGCCCTGAAGAGCTGCCAGTCTCCAAACTTCATGTTCATGACGACCTTGAGCTCGTCCAGCTCACAGTGCAGAAGGACCGGCCCGTTGATGTTGTTCTCCTGGATCGTCTTGTGATATCTATAAGAAAGGGATGTAAAAGTTTGAGTCAATACATGTGTATATGAATTTAGCATACTTCAAACCTCCCCCACGAACATGCATGTATAATAATTACAATGTATGTGCATGTAGGTAGGCAGCACGTTGGCAGAATGTAAAGTGCCTAAGCAAAACATGGATTTTCCATGTTTTTTGTTGAATGTTTGGTCAATGTTGCATCAGAATTTTGCCCATATTTTAGACCATACCTTTTCTGACAAAACATTCTGGATTGTCATCTGTGACTACACGAATATGACATTAAACGAGATGTTCTACCAATATTAGCGGTATGCACAATACATTACGAGTTTCGTGTAGGTTAAGTACAGTATGTTGTGCCAACACTGTGACATTGAGATAGGCTACCCTGGGTAAACAAAACAAACAAATAAACAAACAAATAAATCTGGTTCTCACCTGGGCAGTTCTACCTGGTTGATCCCCTCCAGCTGTGCCAGACGGTCACACACGTCGTGAACGTCCAGATTCTTCAGTTTGGGCTCGCGGACGTCTGACTGGGACTGGGCCTGTGAGAGGGAGAGAGAGAGCAGGTTAACAACATGGTTACACTGGTCCCCTAATGTATGCTCCAACACCCATACATTCTGACAACTCAAAGCTCTTAATTGGGAGCAGCAACATGTTCTTTCAGCGTGAACCACCTCCCCTGGTGTGTTACCTGTCTTTCTGGCCAATTTCTACTCTTTCCAGCCAATTCCTGAAGCCTGGTAGAGGCTAGCTACATGTGTATGTACACTGTACTTGGATGACAGAGCCTACATTGCATTGAGTTTACAACATACAAACTATAAACTGTACAAGTAGCAATCACCTAGTAGCAAATTATTATTGTCTGTTTATTATGGAAATCAGTCATTATGGATTTATATCATGCAGGTCAAAATCAATATCAGGAGAAATTATGCACAGACATTTTACTGTAAATTAGAGTACTGTTATTACAATAACTGTAATATCGGTATCTCCATCAAACGTTTAGTGACAATTACCAATCCAGCTTCATGGGAAATATTATATCATGGAATCTTAGATTATATCTAAAAGGTCTTGTCTGGAATTGTCTTCATAAAAAACCCAAGTCACACCTACATGCGTTGACTAGCATCTAACAGCTTACTACTGTCCATTAAAACACATACAGAATGTGCTAGAATGATTTCACACTGCCATCATGCACCATTTCAGCCATCGTGCCAAATTTCCTGATGGATTTTTAAGCCCCATAGTGCGAACTCCTGAATACTGCGACCATCAAAGTCTTTATTGCATGGCAAATACTGGCACGTAACTGTACATGAATAGTAAAATGTCAGGCGATGAAGCAAGTGTGGTGTTCACAGTCAGACTGTAGAGGTCAAACATGTAACCTTGGCTGTTTGAATCCAATAGGTAAGAAATATGTCTTGAGTGGAGAGTGGTTACATAATCATTAAAGAACAAATTCTCTAGTACCAGAATGTGTCTTTCCCCAAGATATGTAATGAGTATGTAACAATTAATGTAAAATTTATCTTAGCAAGAGCATGGAGCTTTAAATTCAACTTCAAATTGGATTTTCAACCTCCTTGGTGCGAGAAAATATCAATTTATGATGTCATGAGATCCCATTTTAGCTGTAGGTTGCATCCACGCATCATCTCTGAAAAGTACACATCTCTGCCAAATTTCAAAGCTACATGTAATTCACAAAATCAGTCCTACAACTGCTATCTCAACTCTTAGTCAAGAAAGTACAACATGCATGGTGCCATTTTGTTGACCTTGAGGTTTATGACGATCCTCCATGTCATGAAAATCCCCCCCCCCCTCTACTGACGACAATAGGTCTGCGGACAAAGTGATTTTTTGGAGCAAGGCCAGGACCTAGGGCATGAGCGGGTACAAACAGCAAACCCATCAATACAAAATGTAAGAGGATAGTTCTTTTGCGTCAGGACCATCAGATAGTTGCAAACTTGGCACTGCAGCAAATTTCAGACTAACCTTTCAAGTGCCGGGGTCAAAGACAAATGTCTGTGACTAAGAAAAGGCTTTTGATGCTGGTTGGACCTTTACTTGCAATAGCCAGCCTGATAAACCTAATATTGGCAGTGGCTATGGTGCCATGTTGCTAGCTTGTCGGCAGAAAGTACTGCCCCTGAGCGAAATGTAATGTATTGTGTATTTCAGTTCCACATATGTAGAATGTCTCGTTTTAGGTCATACTTGCATATCTAAAAATGACATCCAGTCTATAGTTTTAAAATGTTGTGCTGAAAAAGGTATCATCTGCAACGGGAAAAATTTGATGCTATAGTGACCAAACATCCAATGGAAACCATGAAAAATCTAGGTTCATTAAGCAGCATGTTCTGTGGTATTTGTCAGTAGTGACATCTTGTTGAGTTTTCTGAGCCTTTCGTCTGGCCATGGAAAGGCTCAGAAATGCCTGGGTTTACAATAAATTGAGATGACGACTGGTCTCTAATTTAAAATGATCTTTTGGACAAAGGGCAAGGAGGGACTGGACAGACAAGAAATCTATTAATAACAGGATACCTCTGCTGCCAGAGAGGTATAAATGACAGATATTTGTGGCTGATAAAGGGCTTGATCATGAAAAAATGTTGTGGTTCGACCTTTTGCTGAAATGGACAAAAGTCAGGAAGGGGAGTGGACCGACAACAAAGCCGTTAATAACAGGATGCCCCTGTTGCCTCAGGACAGATAAGGCCACACCAATTCAATTATGTTTGTTCTACCATTTAAAAAAATAAATCAATGAAATTCAATGTGAAAGCAGATAGCCCTGAGTCCATCCTTGTTAGCTTTTGGTTAGTCCTAGTCTGCACCAGATACCTAGTCATAAATTTATTTGTCATGAAGTCAGTGTCATTAAGAGTGTCAGGAAGTCATAAAATTTATTTGAGTAAATTTATTGAGTGAAGTTTTCCTTCTACCCTCCTGTCCAGAGTCTCTTGACAAATTTTTGCTCTAAAATGCCTGAAAACCAAAGAACTACATTCCTATGGCCCAAGTATGTGGCCCATTGTCACTGCAGCAAAATTTTAGCCAAGCGCTGAAGTCCCAAGGTCACAGGCTGACACATGTGACTGCGAAAATGCAGCAGTACAGGTTTCACTGAAATGGCCCGGAAGTGTGGTAAACAGACAACAGACCTATCAACAACTTGAACAGGAAGATGGTTTGCACTAACTTAGTCAGGGCCATCAGATGCTAGCAAAGTTAGCACTGCAGTAAAATTCATTCCAACCCCTGAAGTACCCAGGTCAATGACAGATGTAAACAGCTGAGAAAAAAGGCTTTCAGCACAGGATTTGAACTTGCCCTGAACTACCAAATATTTTGCTGGGGTAACTTTGACATTTCACAGTGTTGTCAAAGGAACAAACCTGATACAATTGTACAGTGAATAACCTTGCAAGGTTTGCATCCACATTTAGCAATTAATACAAAATCATATACAGTAGATACCAACATGGAAACTTCAAATTGCTGTGTGTGGACTGCTAGTATGTCACTTTGTTTTCACGAGAACTGATCCGCCATTGTTGTCATAACAACTTTCATTATAATAACACCAAGCATAAATAGGAACCCATCCCAAATAAAATCAAATAAAATCTGTATCAACATCAACCTTGCAGGCATTGACTACAATCATTGGATGCATGTCATAACAGTGCAACATCATATAATAACACAGAATGACTGACAATGTATTAAAAGGAAATGGGCACTTAAAAATTGTACAAAAAACAAAATCTACAAGGTATACATGTACATGGAGGACCATCATGACATGTATACCGGTATAGGTTTAACCATTTAATGAGATTTTCTAGTTTCAGCGTGGCCAGTACAGACTGGAAAATAATTTCCAGCCAGACCACTTGTCATTTATCATCTCCATGTCAGACATTCTGTAATCCCTTTAGTCACAGGTAGCATCAAAGGTGTTACAACATTGATACCATTACTGGCAACCAAGCAAACAAATTAACAGCCATTAGGTGCACAGGGAGTACATTAAAAGCAAGCAGCTTGACTATAGCGCAGCTGGGAAAAAGGCGGGGTCGTTTTGGAAGCGGTAGGGACTAGACAAGTTTCCCTGAGGGGAAGAGCAGAGCAGAGCCAAGCCTAAGCGGAAGTCTACCGTAAGCTTCAACAGACTCCTTTGGGGGATGAAAGAATAGTAGACATTGGCAAGATAGAATATTTGCAGACAGAGGACTATGAGGTGATTTAGTGTCCGCCATGTTGTTGGGTTAATGTCGCGACCTTTGTGGTGTGTGATTGAATGTCATCCATCACGTTTGAAATTTTTGAACAGTTCTTTACCCAGCATCCATTTCAGGCTTCAGGATTTGACTTTTTTGTGCCTTCTTATATGCTGTTGATTGTCATCAGGACGTACCAATCAGAGTACTGATATAAAATCAGAAAATGATATAGGATATGGCATAAAAAAAGTCAAGCCTTGAAGCCTGTAATGGGGGCAAGAAATCACTAATTACAGAAGGATACCTAGTAAAGGATACCTTCCTTTGCAATATTGTGTTTGAGTTCCAAATAAAAAGGTTGTCCTTTTTAAAAACATCCATCCAACTGACATTGTAATTGTTGCAGCAAAATAGCCAATTTCTACTTTCTTTCCTGCCCCCCAAAACGAGTCTAGATGATTGAGACAAGGTCTATGGGCTCTATACCTCCTCCAGTGGCTGAGAGAGCAAGGATTCCTGTGACAGCTCTGATATGGGGGTCAGAGGGCAGGCGGAGGGCCCTGGTACACCCAGCTACGCATGTGGGAGGGGGAGGGGTGGGAGAAATGAAACAGAAGGAAAAGATAATTGTACATGAAAGCAAATTTAATTATTATGACAGTGATTTACAAAATGTAGACAAAAGAATGGTTAAAGAAGAAAGATGGAAAGACATGAATATGGCTTATAGAAGAGAAATAAGCAAGACAAGGTTGCCTTAAACAAGAACAAAGCAAAGTTAATGATGGTCAAAACATTGTACAGTAAACAGAAATTTTACAATATAACAGATTAGGCCACACCAATTTATTTACTTGCTTCTCCAGCATTTAAAAGGGAAAATATATCAAATGGACATCATAAAAGCAGAGGAAAATTTGAATATAGCTGTAATAACTCCATAAAACTGAGTGTACCAAGGCATACATCATACATTTGTACACCTGGTCCAGGCTTTGTTTTCCTTATATTTTTCCATTAGAAAAATCAGAAAACCAGGAAATTAAATTGGTATGACCTGAAATAGAAAAATTACACAATGGGTGTGAAATTCAATTCAATTGTAGCAAGAAAGCTCTGTCAATCAGGTACATGGAGCAACAGTGCTGTCTAAGGTCACGCAATGTACATGGGCGGGTAAGAAATTATGTGTTCGGAAATGCTTGTATTATTTCCCCAAAGAACAGGGATTTGACGGAGTGACAGAAGCGGAAATGACGGTGAGGACCACAGAGACAGTTACG